TTAATTTAATCCGCTCTTGTTATAATTTAATTTAATCTGCACTTGTTGGAAGTTAATTTAATCCGCTCTTGTTATAATTTAATCCGCTCTTATTGGAAGTTAATTTTCACAGGAGGGCCTGAACCAACCAAAACAAACACGCATGTTGCTTCTTGTTTCGTGGCACTGGAACCAGAAGATGCTTACGGTGCCGGACAGGATGTCGTGAGGACATGAATCCAAGAGGTGGCTTTTACAGACCCGATCATCTGAGAACTTGATCCTCTGCCGCATGGTGTCTCCTGGAACGAGCAGAACACACGAGGTGCACATGAACAACGAGCTCCTCTGAAGGTTCAGCTCAGCGGCACCATGTTCTGAACAGGTTAGCTTCTAGTTGGACACACGCTCATCGTCACGCACACGAGTCAAACGAAGGAGATACGCGTGCACGTGGTTCACTTCAGTTTTCCTCTGGTTAGAGTTGTGGCTCACGTGTCCTAACTACCTGAGTAAAGTTAAAGACGACAGGTAACAGCAGCTAGCTTCCTGTGAGCTAGCACACGTTAGCTTGCTGGCTAACCCCGGCTGCGCGTGGCGCTAGCTCCCGGTTGGAAGCACAACCCCCCCGGGCTCACCGTCTCTCCCCGTCCCCATCAGCTGGTCCAGCATGGCTCGCATCTGCGCCTGGGCCGACATGTTCGTTAGCGTCGAGTCGTGCGCGCCGTCAGGCCTCGTCTCCCAGCAGGAGGTGGAAGTCCCGCTCCACCTGTCTCCACCGTTCTCACGCGATCGCTGCACTTTCACTCGAGTTCTGCGTCACTTTGTTGAACCCGCGGGACTGCACGGGCGCGTCCACTCGTGGGGCGCGTGAACGCAGCCAGGCCGCTTCAATGGCGGACTTTACAGAACGGGCGCTGCGCTAGAACTGGACTTGAGGCCGGTCACACACAAGTTATCACGTTTATTCTACGTCCTCTTCTTCTTCCGCCTTCCCAGTTCCTCTTTGTGCGCGCCACCGCAGAGCGCGCGCCCTGCGACCATTCTTCTTCTTCTGCATCCAGGAAGTGCAGCTCGCGTTTTTTTCCTTCAAAACTTTATTTACAACTTTACTTCGAATAGAGCAATCTAACAAATACACACTAAATAACACTGAACATGTCAAAAAAGGAAGCAAAAAAAAAAACAAAGATAAATAAATGCGAGTTACAAAGTTAAATTCTATTCATTACAGATGTTTTTTGTTTTTATAGCCTTTTTTATTTGAGCCTGACTCTGAGTCAAGATACAGTTTTACATCCATTACAAAGATCAAAAAACAGTTTCCTATGCATTATTTTTCTATTTTATATATATTTCTTCTATTTTATACTATTTTGCATCTGTTTTCTACATTCACCCTATAATCTAGCTGTTTTTATTACTTTTTTGTAAAAAAAAATCTGTATGCCTTTTTATAACTGTTTATTGTTGCTGTTGTCATCTTTCTTTGTTAAATCAGGTCTCTCTTGTAAATGAGTCCTCGAGGCTCGATGGGATTCACCTGTCTAAATAAAGGTTGAATGAATTAATGAATGGTTTTACTGGATGTGGAACTTTGCAAGAAACAAGATCAGACTGATAATAAATATGTGAGAGGAGTCTTTCGTCTTGACATCTAGGATACCAAACAACATTTTCAAAATAGAGAAGGAAACCTGGTTGGATATTATTGGATATCAGAGCAACAATGTCCTTCCAAAAGCTCTGTGAGTATGTACACTTCCACAAAAGATGAACAGATGTTTCTGGATAAAGCTTGCAGAACGAACAGGAAATATCAGCTTTATATTTCTGAAGAAAGTGTTTGGATAAAATGTATGAATTAATTTAAAAGAAAATTCTTTTAAACTTGATATTGACTACTCTTGTACAATTTGTGAACTACACATAGAAACAATCTCTCATTTATTCTATAA